AAAGAATTCCTGCTGACCTTTGCGGTTTGGATTTCACATTCCATACATTCAATAAGATGTATATCCAGGACATTATCAATTTGGAAGCTTGTAATGTTATTCCAGGTATGTAATTCATAACTGCAAACGAACGGCAGCACAGCCTTCTAGAATTATAATCTTGAACACATCTTTTGTGATGAAATACATTATTGGTGTCAAATGCTGTGAAATGCATGGTCATAAGAAAAAAAGTTTTCTTTATACTTTCCTTTGTTCCCAGCAATGATCTCCTGATTTATTTATACATGATTTTCTTCATGCCTTACCATAATAATTATTTAATATGATTTAGTAAAGGTTTTTAAGAAATCAGGGTCTAGTCTGTCATTATGGGTTACTGCGTCTGCTAACCTATTTATGGTTTGTTCCCACATGAAAAATCAGGTTTAACTTTCTTTTTTTCTCTGATAGAATACATGTATGCACAATGTTTAAAACAAAGTAAGTTTTTGACAAACAAGTTGATGAAACATGAAAATCAGCAGTCTCTTTTAAAGTCGTCATTTTGTTAGTTCTGTGGTCAATACAATGGCCTTGTCAGCTAATTCAATCTATCATTACATCAAATGCTGACTTAAGTGTTTCATACTAATTGTTACATGAAGGCCATTATTTACATCTACTGAAATGTTGACAGATTTTTCTCTTATGACAAGGAGCACACGGCAGGTGTGACCGTTTAGCAGGGGATGCTCACTCTTCTGTGACACCTGGTCCCACCTCTGATGTTTGAGGGTCTGTTTTTGCTCCCTTCCAATTTTGTAATGTTTGATGGACTTTTGGGCTTGAACATCTGAGATTTTTTATCTCCATGTATATGCATCAAATTTATGAATAAATAATATTATTATACTACTTAAAGAGTAGTTTTTTATTATGTCCTATTGATTTTGTTAAAGTTTATGTCAGTTTTAATCAATATTAATTTATGATCATGATTTTTATTTTTACAACAAAGGCTTCCCAGCATCATGAGCATAGGAGTGTATAATGAATTAAAACAACTCAATACTTTTACAATTTTCCAGAAAATTAGAGAACTCAAAAGTTGGGAGAAATTGGTTTTGAATTTTATTTTGAATTTGCTTAAGGTCTCAGTGAAAAAATAATTTTGACAATGATTCACATTTATTGTGATCATTGTACCTGCAAAAATAATCAGCATCATCACATACATGTGACATAGTTCAAAGGTATTATGAATATTATAATCAGTACATAGAATGTTTGCAGCCAAATCTGATGCTTTGGCGTTTGCATCTATACAGCAAAACTCGTTTTACTAGTAAGAACACCGATATTGTGAATTAATGGATACAGCAAAGTCATCTTGGATACTCATATATATTAATTTAATGAATTTCTTATGCGGTTATAACAAATTACGGAAATAGCGAAGTAATTTCAAAGGTTCCAGTGACTTCGTTATAGCCAATTTGATGCCTTATGTCAATATGTTGTATTTTCTATGTGTTTGGTGCCTAGTCATTTTCTGGAAATGAGTTAATGACAAATGAGACTTGCTATAAAAGAGCCTTGCTTGATGCCATTGGCAACTTTTAATAAATTGTTTATTTGCCATCTCCCCATCAACCACATGGCTTAAAATGGCCTGATTCAAAACTTTTTTTTTACCTCCAGGAAACAAAGATTTTTTTTATTCATTCAGAATGTGCCTCCTCCCATTATTACTATTTAATTTATGTTTTGAGCCAAAAAAAAACCTCTACCTATATTTTCTTGAGTTAAAAAAAGGCAAGCAAACATGTTTTGATGACCTTCATAGGGATGGGGGGAGGGGGTGAAAACATTTTGGAAAGGGAGGAATTTGATGTTCAGCCAGCTTTGATTGCTTGAGGCCAGATAATTCAGTTGGTATTGCACCACATGTCTTGAAATCATGTGTCCAAACATACAATCCAGGTCTTCTTCCCTATTTTTATTTCCTTCCTGTTACATTCCTTAAGAAGTGCAGGCATAAATTATGTATGATTCTTAGAATTCTTACATGAAATTACTGTATGTAAAGCAGAATTTTTAGTGAGGATTTAATTTTGGCATTTTTAACTAGGGTGCCAAGATCACTAAAATTGAATATCGCTAAAAAGTATTGTGCTTTATTTGTAATAGCTTCTTTAGTGAGCTTTTTGAAATCGCTAAAACTGCATCTCGCTAAAATAAAATACAATTTTTTAAGGACAAATTGCTAAATTTGTGTCTTGCTAAAATTTCCACTTATACGGTATATCAATATTGTTTTTCCATTTCTATTTTACCAAATAGCCCATATTTATTTCAGGAATGTATTGGTATAAAAAGCACCCAATTTATAAAGTGGACATCATTGGAATTGTAGTAAAAAGACAAGAAAATGTAAAGTGTTTTGTTTACGGAGGTATGTTCATTTTATTCCTGAATAAATTTTCACTTTCATGAAATAATTTTTTTTGCAAAAAAAAAAAAAAATACCTTTTAGTTTCTAGTGGCATAAAACATATTCCTCAACCACACCATATTCACAAATTATATAATAAATGGAGATTGAAACAGTTATTGAATTGTCACAAATTGTTGTATAAAGACAATGAGAACTTATGTCAGTTTTTCAACCATGCATTATTTTACAACTAAGCCATGAGTAATTCCAAATTCAACATGTTCAAAGGTACAAAGTACCTATACATGTTTAAATCTGCTGGGTTTTTGTACAGTAAATCCTTTTCTTTTTTGCTTTGAAATTAATACTGTTGGACTCTCAGAGTTGCAGAAGAGGTAACAAGCGAAAAATCATTTTTTACTGTAACAGTGAAACTTGTTTAATCCATATGCTGTGTATTCCAAACCCTTGCCTTGTATGATGTAGCATTTAAGTTCTTTTCAGTTATTCAATTGCTTAAATATTTTTATTTTTTAAATTCTAAATTTAATTTTTTGTCTAGTTGGAATGTTGGGGGAAGGGGGGGGGGGTAATTTTCTTTGGAATCTTAATGTATAGATAAGACACCTTTACTGTTTACATTTATATTCCTTAAAATCCTTCATGGGTTGGTCTACTAAATGGTGTCAACATTAGAAATACATGTAATAAAGAAAAAGTTTAACGTTTCCTTTAATATTTCTAAGTTGATGATGGTACTGGTGTCATCACTTGCTGCTGTTGGAAAAACAGAATGAAAAATCAAAGTCCAGAAGGTAGATTATGAAAACTCGTTTTAATCTTATTTTTAACTTAAACTGATGTAACACCCATACGGAAATTATGATTCATTTCTTATTTAAATTATTACAGAAATGGAACACTTGATAAAGGGAGGTAGCAAGCTACCAAAAGTGTTGAAAGAGAAGGTTTCAGCCATTATGATGTCTCAAAGTAAAATGAATGAGGGTTACTCTCTGGGAGACTTGGTCCACATCCGGGGTAAAATTAGAATTTTCAGGGAGGTGCGAGAAGTTATGGCATCTTATCACAGTATCCTTTTCTATACTGTACACATGGTAGATGTATAATATCTCAGTATATAAATAAAGGTATTTTCTAAAAATTTCAATACTGCATAATTATTTAATTTCTACAGGTGTTTGTTTTGACATGTTTGAAAAAAATTGTCATGAATTTAATCAACTTTTAAAGGATTTGTTAGAAATCACACATTTCATCTGACTTGGATATTTAAAAAAAAAAAAAAGCAATAAATCCAAGGAAGAAAAAACCAAGTTTCTCACATAGGAACTTGTATGAAATTTTGTGAAATACATGAAGAGAAACACTTAACAAATCGACAAGGTAAACTTGAAGATCCTAATATGGAGCTTGTCAGAATGGCGGAACTTCCAGGGCTGTACAGGACATCGTATGATGTGGATACTTTACCAAAGAAAGTCCTGGAAGAGATCTCAGAAATGTCTCAAGGCAACAATGTAAAAGGATGTCAGGGAGAGGTAACTCTTCTTCAAAGCCATTTGGTTTTGTTTTACTGTTTATACATACTTTTATCAGATCATAAGACAGAGATCCTGATCAAAGTTAGTACAATGCCTGTATCTAATAATTATGTATGCACTTCACAAATTGTTCGTTAGTTTTTATTTTGAACATATTTTATTGAAAATATGTCAAATGGATTGTACACAAGTTCCAAAAACTTGAATTCAGCTTCTGAAGGACATAAGCATGATATGATAATTAAGACAAAAATCTTTTGAAATTGAAATGCAGAAAATTTAGACTGTAAATGGTAAACTTATTATGAGAAATACAGAATATAGATGTGACATTTTGAATACCTGCAGTAGGGTAAGGCCATAATAGGATATATAGTATTGAAAAATTTAAAGAACAAACTACAGTAAAACTTGTTTATAAAGAACATCAGTTTTAAAGAAATAAGATTTTTTAACCCTACTGGAAATGAAATGCAGATGTTAAAAGTTAAGTAAGACTGGATGACACATAAAATGGCTTTGAACAAGCTCCTTGCTCTGTTAACAGATTGTACCTGAATTAAAAAGACTTCTGCTGACTTACTTTGAGGAGCATCAACCTGATGAAATAAATATAAAGTACATAAGTAGGCTTCCTCAAGTAACTGAACTCTTGGAAAAGGTAAGAAATTATGAAGTTAAATGCTGAATTATTGTTGACAGAATACTAGTATTCAAGGCTGACTTCAACATATAATGGATTAATAATATAATATGTCCTTTAATGCTCTTCATTTCAAAGAAGTTAATTTTTACAATTCTTTTCTGTGAAATTAATAAGTTCATTTTAAAAAATTTCTTTCAAAAATCTGAAACACCACCGAAAAATGACAGGAATTGTGTCAGCATAAAGCCATATGTAATAAACTGATTTGAAAAAATATATAGTATCCCACTTCTTGAAACCTTTTTATTTTATTTTGAAAAAAATCTTTATTAGTTTATTTTATCCAATACAGTTCATTGAAAAATGCATTTTATAACTTCATATGCTTATAAAAAGTGAGTGACATCTTCATGGCCTCACTAGGTGAAAATACAGGTTTATAACTCAGTAGAGCTTCAGCTTTGTCTCTTCTGAAGTAAAGATCCATGTTAATGTACTTGACACTGCATGACGCTGTTTGGAAGTTGATTCTCACTATTGGAGAAATAAGCTTCAAAACAAATTCAAAAATCACCAGTGGCCAGTAAACTGCAACGAATGGAATCCTGTAAGAAGAGAGGGCCATGGCTCTGCTCTCCAAGAATGGTTTCATGAATTCGAAAGAATTAGACAGCGGGGTGTCATCTGGTATAAAGAAGGCCTGTCCTCCTATGGATTTATTGGATTTTAAGGCTTTGTCAGCACAAAGAAATGCCCAGGCAGCATTTCCGGCATAACACTGTTGAAACAGATTTTTTCCATTACCTATTTGCACAAGTGTTCCCTTTGAGCTCTGGGCCGAACGGAGTCCATTGGCAACATAATACTGATCCCCTTCTCCATACATTACATTGGCTCTGAGAGACACTGTAGCCAGTGATTCTCCTAAAAAAACAAAGGATGAACACACTATATAAACAAAATCAGGTTAAAATGTTATATATGAAATTATTATACTGAAGTAACTGAGCACATTTTTTTGTTTTTTGTTTTACTAAAAAAATATTACAAGGCAAAATGAATTCTATATTGATAAAATTAAGATTTAATATGAACAATGATCTATCTCAAAAATTTCAAAAACAGTACAAATATGCTAATGGGTCATTAATAATAGTTGCTTGAAGATTTCAGAGGTTGGATCAGGTACCCTTGAGATGTTTGAATCCCCAGTATGTGTGGAGAAATTAAAATGATTTCTACAGTAAAATGCATATATTCAAATCAGTAATGGAAAACACGGTAAAGATATGTTAACAGGAACAAAACTCAAATTGCAGAATGATCATATTGCAAATTACACAAAAAACCCAATAGAATTTAAAGCAGCTTTATGCAACACAAAGGTGTAGCTGTTCAGAAAGCTGCTCTCATTTGTCAAAAATTGGCAAACAATTTTTTTTTCTTTAAAAAATTCAGCCAGTGTCACAGTTCTGATAATCACAAAATCTACAAAACACGGTTACATATACATTGTATCAGTTTGATGATATCCCTAACAATATGTTGGATCAAAATTATAATTTTTATACAAAAATGGGATTAAAACGCAATTCACAGACAAGAAAAGCTCCAATATGGATAGAATTTAAAGTAGATTTGTTGTCACATAAAGTAGTCCTATAAAGCAAAGTTGTTCTACAAAAATAAGATCGTTTCAGAAAAAGTTACAATACTTCATTCCTACCATTTACAGTAGGTCTTCCATTGGCTTGTAAAACCATACATTCTTGCATGTATTTCGTCTCTGGGTATCCAGGGAAAAGAAATTTAGATGGCTTTCCTGTCGTCTGCTCAGTGCCGTCTCTGATGTCATCGAATCCAATAACGACATCAACTGAGCTACACAAGACAAGTCTTTGAACACCACATTCCACGCATGCATCCAGTATTTTCTGTGTTCCTGTTACACAATTTTAAAATGAAACTTAATATTAAATAGCAAGAATTATTAGATTTATTGAACAGAGAAACAGTACGTATTGAATATCTATGAAGGGTGTTGGAAGACCATGCATTCAAGCTACAAAGAAAACTATTGCTATTGTAGAAATCTTTGAAAGTAAAGTTTAAAAAGATCATATTTTGTGGAATACCCTTGACGTTGATTTCCATCATGGCGTCAATGTCTGGTGACGTCCCAAAGCTGATTAGGCCAGCCACGTGGAATACACTAAACGCTTTCCGACACGCTTTCTCTACCACGCTGTAATCTGTGACGGAACCCACAAAACTTGTCAACGGAATTCTGTCCTCGTATTCTGAAATAATAATCTCATATTTTGATAATAATAATAATACTTTAAAAAAAAAAAAACAAGGATTGAAGAAAAAACATTAATTTACCATATCAACTGACACTATTGAAAAATCTGAATGTAACAAAGAGGATGTAGAAGAGCTCTTCAACTTCAGAAATCGTGTTAAAAAGGTACTTTTTTTCAAAAAAAAAAAAAAGGAAAGAAAAGAAAAGAAAAAAAATAGAAAAAAGAAAGAAAGAAAGAAAGAAACACAAACCGTATCTTTGTAACAAATTTTAAGAATATAAAACTTTCCTATCACAAATTTTAACTGAAAGAGAAATATTTTTGTAGTAACTACTACAAATCTGTGTTGACTTGAAATCTCCGATGGGGGACCGGCGTACCTAGTTGTTTGGTGAAAGGCTTCAGATCCAGTACACGGATTTCTTTGACATAGTCGGCCCTTTCCTGTAATATTTTGACAATATGCTGTCCCAGAAACCCCGCCCCACCGGTCACCACGATCCTGTCTGTCCTTAGCGTCATTGGGATGCTGTCTGCTGGTTTTTTTCCCCTAATTTCGCGATATTTGAAACGAAAGATGAACGTTAACCAAAACGCTTCAAACATGTATCGAAAAACCATATTACAATAAAATGGATATGTATATTTTCTCAGTTTCTTATATGTAGATTGTAATAAATGAATAAAGTATATACTCACAATTAAAGAGGCAGTTATCTTGGTGCTCTGAAGTATACAAGTCTTGATAAATGAAAATGAACGTCTGCAGTGCTTTACTGTCTGATGTACCACGTGACTTTTCATTTTTTTTTAAAATCCTCTTTACAGGAAAGGCTATTTATGATCTAAAGAAAGGATTGATAAGGGAAATCAATGCTATTTGAGAAACTCCCTATTGTGCAACTTAAAATGCTGCACCTGATTCGGAATCAGATTTACAAAGGGACAAAATTTGATATTTTGGCCATTAACATAAATATTGTCACATGTAGCTGCAGATCTGTAGCTCTCCGAAAAAAAATAATTTGACAGTCCGGTCTATCAATATATTTTTCGGAGAGCTACAGTTCTGCAGCTATGTCACATGTATCTTTCATTTGGCGTAAAAAATATTTTAGATACTATTTATATTAAAAATTATTTTCGATTGGAAAATGCCCTCTTTAAGTTTTTGGTTGGATTTTATCTGGAAGTCTCATTTTTCGTGACTTTTTTCCCCCATCAAATATGATTTCAAAATCCCAAAGCCAACTGAACTTGTAAAAAAAATTATAAATAAATGTATTCATGCTTATACTGACAGCTAATCTTTTTCTAATTATCAGGTAAAAAAGTGAGTACATAGGAAATTGACTTGAAATGATTCTGTTCCTATCTTTTAGGACGGTTTATCTATAGAAAGAAAAACTGAGTTACAGAAAGCGCTCGGTATCTTGGAGGAGGAAGGATGGATATTTACAAAGGAGAATCACTTAGTATACGAGGTGACTTCTCTCAATTTGGTATTTACTTTGCTTACTTTCTTTTCTTCTGATGGAAACATACATGTAGTATTTACTTTTTTCTTCACAACTTTAGGTTATAAAACCTGACTGTCCATTGGAAAATCTTATAATGGATATTCTTAAGAGAGACTGTGTGAAAGAAAAATGTATGTAATTTTTGCATTTAAAAAATAAAAATTAATGAATAAGGCCGGTAGCACGGTCGAAATATTTTAAAGAAGTGAAAGTTTTTTATTCTATAATATAATATATATTCATATTTTTCCCTTAGCCCTTTACTTGAATGATTTACATCTTAATTAATTGTTCTTTCTTTTTCAGATCAGGATGAAGGCTGTCATTTTATGCATATCGTGAAGGAAGTTCGTAACAACCAGAAATACAGTGCAGTTCAAAACACATGTATCCTAACTTGTCTGAATAATCTGGAATATCGAAGTGATGTGATAAGGACATCTTTCTATAAATATATTTTGTGTACAATTTGACCAAGAATTTTTGATACAATCAACTTTCGTGACTGTTTCATTTTAAGAAATGAAAAGTTATGCTAGCTAGTCTTCATGTTAACTTTTTTTTCTTTTTTTTTTATTTCACAAGTGCAAGTACAATAAAGTGCAATAACAATTCAGCAATTATTTTATAACAGCATATATAGTACAATAAGGATAAGTCTTATGATTGCTGATTGAGGGGAAAGAAGAGAAAAGAGAGAAAGGGAAGAGAAGGTGCTTATTAACAAATTAAGAAGAAAAAAAACCTTGTCTGTTTAAACATTTATTTGTTCACTGTTGGTGATTCTAAAAATCGAGCAAAATAGTCAGAGCCTTCTAAGTAAGAAAAGCCAAATTTCCCAGTCTTTATGAAAATCTTCAAGATTACAATTTTTGGTAGCTATGTACTTCAAAGTTGAAAGATGAGTTTTGATATCTAGAAGTAGTCCATGGATTGATAGTTTTTCATTAAGACATCGCTTTTTGTATATGTAGGATTTGAGAATTAGGAATATCTGGTACAAATTCTTACAACTTGAGTCAAGATCTAATCCCAAAGTAAAAGAACAAGGATCTCTTGGAATAACAATATCCCTTGTTTGACAAAATTCAAAAAATAGATTGATGAGATCATCCCCACTTTAAACATGAATACATTAGTGGTTAAGATTTGATGGTTAATTCTATATTGTAACCATTGAAGTTTTTTACTTTTAGTACTGATAAAAGGTAATTGAAAAATTGTTTTCCATTGCAACTTAGATAGAGTGAAATATTTTCCTCATTTTGATTTGTAAAAAGATGTGACATTTTCTACTGTATTTAGTGTGTCATACATAGTTTTGGTACCTTTTTTGGATGAGCAAAATAATCTTATGTAAAATGGCGTAATTGGTTTGGGGTTATTGTTTTGTTTGACAATATCCTCACTTTTTAGACTAGTTGTAATAGAATTTTGTACACCATAATATGTAAGAAAATTAGTTTTAATGTTGAACTTATTCTGGAGATCTCGTAAACTCAAAAATGCTCCATTCTCATCAAGCAAATCGTTAATATATATAATATTCTTATTATACCATTCAATAAAGAAAATGGACTTTTTTCCAATTTTAATTTTTTTATTAAACCATATTGGTTGAGTTAAAAATTCTTGCCACGATTTTATCTTCATTTTATCTTGAATATCTCGAAAAGCAATTAATGTATCTTTCCAAAAAAGATTTCTTATGAGGTGCAATATATCATTAATATAATCTGATCCAGTTTTGAACATTTTGTCAAAATTAACAGTTTCATTTGATAAAGTTTTCCATTTTGAATTTTGACTGATCAGTAATCTTTTCATCCATGATGATTTCACACCTTTGATATAGTTATCAATTTCAATCATTTTAGGCCTCCATTTGGATAGTATTGAGTAATTTGTTTTCTTTTAATTTTATCCACCTTAGATTTCCACAGGAAATTAAATAAAATATTGTTCAAATCTTTTATGAATTTGCTTGACGGTGTTGGTAGAGAGATAAAAAGATGGTTCATTTGTGAGATTAGTAGAGATTTTATCAGCGTAACCCTGCCAATAGGAATGGTATGCCTTTTGTTCCACTGTCTTCATGTTAACTTAGTTTAAATTACATATAATTAAATCTAAGATTATTTTAATATAATATAGCAATGGTCCTTATTAGAGACTCTTACTATAGGGCTACCAATATATATATAACATTCTCCCTCAATTATTCTCAAACAAAACATTTTGCTTGAAGAAAATTAATGTAAAATAGCAATAAACAGGGAAACGTCCTTTTTAAAAAATTGTAAAACTAATATTAAATTATGGAATTTGAAGATAAATACATGTAACTAACAATAATAATGCTTCCAAGTCTATTGATTCAATACAAAATTAAGGAAGAAGAAAAAAAGAATCTGTTTAATAATCTAGACCATTGTATGTTCACATCGATTCACATTCTTTTCATGATGTTAATTGTACTCTAGTTTCCACCTTGATATGTATTTTCCCATAACGACAGATTATTTAAACATCGTATAAATACATGCATCATATATTTTTACTCCAGATCAAAAACTAAAGTACTTAGAGTTTTTCACATTGACTGCATTTAAATTATAAATTTCCACTATTAGAGAAATGTCCTATTATTTGCGCTGTAACTTACCGGGCAGACAAAGTGCATGTATCTTGATTTGCCTTCTTTATATCCTTTAGGTGCTGGGGTCATTAAATATACCTATTTTAGACAAAATTTTATTTGTTTTCACGACAGGTCGATTTAAGTGCAGTCTTATGTTTCATTTAGAGTACAAAGAGTTTTAGGGTTAAATTCTTTAAGTTTATATATCAACGCTCTTTTCTTTACAATGAGAAGTTGCATAAAAAATTTTGTCAACGAAACCTTCAACGAATTGTTTCAACAAATTACAACATTTGTTTTGTCCGGGTTTTAGAGCTTTGAAAACAGTAGAGATGAAATGTGTTATTGAATGAAAAAAATAAACTTATTGTTTTCTTGAATGGATTTTTTTTTCTCTATTAAGCAATCCGTTGTCAGAGAGAAAGAGAGAAATAGAGTCCTGTCTCTTTGAGGGCCAAATATCCCATCAGGTAATACAGTAATTCCTCATTTAACTAATTTGTTTCTTTTAAATAAGACTTATATTCCAAAATATCTTCTGGGAGATTTTCTGAACATCCACATCCAAAATACTTAGTACTTTAAATCTTAGTGTTACCGAAAGGAATTTTTATTCGCATAAAATTTCCTTTCAAAAATTGACTTTGACAAAGTCACTGATATTTGCAGAAAATGTCCATTCTTGAAGAGAATACCTGATCATTAAAAAGCAATTTAAATGTAACTATTTATACCTGGCATAACTAAGAGTTTTTATTCTAGATTGGCCTTATCAGTTCTGTAGAAATCGTAGTCTTCGTATACCTTAAATATGTAAACCTCGAATTGGATACTGCTCCTTCAACTTCATTTTGCTGTACAATAATTTCAGATTTCACAACTCAAAAGAAAAAGTTTGCTTGAAACTTTTCGTGCTGAGCTGAATTCCGAAGGTCAACATGGTAAATATGAAGCGAGAAAAAGACGTTGAAAAAATGAGTTGAATTTTCGTCTTTATGTGGATTCTTTTATTAGGTTAACGGCAAGCACAACCAAAAATTTTAACATCAAACAGTTTTACCTTGGTCATAACTTTTGCATATTATAAAATGGCATCCTAAAGAAAAAGGGGAACCCGGTACGGAACATGTATTGCTTATATGCAATACTCTCAGAATGCTTGTTTTCATACGTGATAGTGAAGAAGTCATAAAGATACATAGACACTAGTTTTGACCATTTTAAGAGAGAGAGAGAACAAGATGTGTTTGTGAAACACTGATGACTATGGCAACATACATGTAGCAAAGATTTAACTGTCCTTAAATGCAAATTAAATACATGTATGTTGTTACCCAAAGTAAGTTCTTCTAACAAGAAATACAATTGTATTGTAAAATATGAAAGCCCTAGCACCACCTGTTCAAAAGTTATGTCCAAGGATGAGTTTTTGAAAGGTGGGTAAACTCCAGGATCAAGGTCAAAGGGCCAAAGTTGTTTGTTTTTAAAGAATGGTTTTGTCACAAGGATTACATATGTGAAGTATGAAAGCCCTAACCGTAACCGTTTAAAAGTTATGGCCAAGGTTAAGGTTAAAGTAGGTCAAGCTCCAAGGTCAAAGTTGTTGGTATTCAGTGAAAGGTCTTGTCATAAGGACTCAATGTATGAAGTATGAAAACCCTAGCCCTAGCCTTTCAAAT